CGACCGAGTGCTTTGTGTCAGTGAGCGAGGAAGCGGGAGGGTGTCCAATTCGCAAACCGGGGGGGGGGGGGGGGAGTCATGGGTGTCCAAACAACAAATAAATGAAGTTGGCGAGAAGCGAAACGGATGGGGGAAAGGAAACCTGGCTTGAAAAGAAATAACAAGATATTGGACCGACCAGAGCAGGTGGGGGAAAAGGCAGGTGTTCTATTCTTCGTTTGGGTGTGTTTTTTTTGTCTGACTCAAGTGCAAAGCGCGCCAACCACCAAGCAAGATTCTTGGCCATGTGTGCGCTAGAAGAGAGAAAGCGATAAGGGGGAGTGGAGGGGGGAGGGCGAGGGGCGGCTTGATAGGAAGAGAAGGCAAGAGGCATGAGGGCGGGGATGACGATCGGCGGGTGCATACAACGGGGCCGAGATATTCGCAAGAACTTAGCCGTGACTATTTTCGAGTTCTTCAGTCTTGGATAAACCAAACGAAGGGCTTGAGGGAGTGGAAGGTGGGGGCGGGGGGCGCGTGCGCGTGCACATCGGAGACAGTGATCCATCCTTCCTGGTCGGCGCACAAAAAAAAAGAAAAAAAGCTGTACCAGACGAAAGCACCGTGGAGGGAAAAAACGTGAACGAAAGTGGTACTCCGTAGTGAAGGCGGGATCTCCGGTGCAGTCCTCGGTGTGGCTTCTAGTGCTCTCTGCTGCGTCTCCCATGTGGCTGCTGCTGCTGCTGCTGCTGCTGCTGCTGCTGTTGGAATGGTGGCGTGGATGTTGCCCAACGTGATTAAGGGGTGGGACGATAGAAGAAGTGGAATTGAGATGGTGTTCCGATGCGCCGGGGAAGTCTTGGCGAGAACAACGGGGGCCGCCAGCTGCTGGCACACTCTCGGCCGAACCCCATGCGCGTGTCTCTCGAGATGGCGGAGACGCCAGACGAAATGGTTCCCCCCAACGATGTCCACCCATGGAAGCGCAAATAGCGTAGCTACGCTATTTACGCGTGCCATCTTCAATAGATGTTGGCTTGATTTCCCGATGATGCGGTGATTCGGCAAAAACGCCCCACGTGGGACCAGCTAGGTTCGGGAGACGAACGGCGAGGGTGGTGGTGGTGGTGGTGGTGGTGGTGGTGGTGGTGGTGTTGTGACAAGGAAGGCGGTTCGACAATGGGAAGAAAAATAACGGGTGACTTATTTAACGGGTGACTTATTTTTCTCTATGCCATTCGTTCTTGTGCGGTATGCATGGATGGCAGGTTTTTGTCTTTCCGCGCTCGTTAGGGGGGCGGGCGGGCGGGTGTTCGGGGGGTGGGGGGGTTTTAGGTCCATCGTTGTTCGTGGAGGCCGGTTGATGATGGTGGTGGCGGCGGTTATGAGGTATCGCGAGCGACTGTCATGCAATACGTTCGTTGTCTTGGCGGCAACAATCCATCTCTCTCTTATATCTACCGGCAACCTTGCTTGAATTCCTGCATCACGCTGCGGGACTGCTATGTACATGAGCGGCTCTGTCGGGCCTCGCCTCCCCTGACGTTGTCGGGTGTGATCGATCGGGTTGTGTGATGCGGCGGCCAAGTGCCAGCCCTCGCCAGGCGTTGTCGATGCGTACAGTAGCAGCGCGGGAACTTCGCCACAGTTGGATTGGGGGTCTCAATCTGTTGTTGTTGTTGTTGTTGTGGCGGTGAAGGCGGTGGTGGGGAGGAGGGAGAGAAGGCGTGCGTTTCTTCCCGGTGTGTGCCGCGTCGTACTTTGCTGCGCTTGTTGTTCAAGGAGGGGGTGGTAAACCGAGTAGGAGGGTAAAAATAACTATTATACTTATTTTGCTGTCGACAGCAAGAACTCCCTCGTAGTATCATATCGCGTTTTTGGAGCCGGGTGTCGCCGGCACGGTAGGCCATATGGCTTTTTGGTCTCTTTTTCGGCCTCTGATGATGGGTGCTCACACGCGGCCCCGCCGCAGCACGCCATAACCAGCGTGCTCCAATAATAGCCCTCCCGTGAAGTGCCTAGACTATTGGGCTGGCCTCTTGCCATGCATTCTCGTGCGCTTGCGTGTAATGTGTCTTTGTTGTTATTTTAGAATCGATCGACCGCGCTCAACGGCTGACCGATGGAATCACCTGTGCGGCTGACAAAACGAAAAAGGCTTCCAAAGGCTACCATGATCTCGGACCCGGTGAGGGGGAGTCATGGGGGAGGCTAAGCTGCTCTCGAGCTTAGAGAAAGAAACGGTAGCAAACGAAGTTTTGTGTTTGAACGAGCATCGACCGCGCTAATCGGTTGACCCATGCTAAAACGTCAACCTCGTAGTAACATGTATGTGTGTCTGTGCTCTTATGTGTCCTCCTCGCACATTCGTTTCGGCAACGACGAGCAAGAGGTAGGGAGACGGGGTTAAGAACGGGATGGAAATGGGATAGTTCCTCGCCTCGCTCGTCCTGTAGAGTGTGGTTGTTTGTGACTGTTTGATGGCGAGACGGAGCTGGCCAGCGCGCCCCGTCGCACCTCCTGCCGTAGATGTGTGCGCGCTCCTGATTTTCCTTTTTTTTAGAAAGAAGCTTGCCGGGTTCTTTTGT